GAACTCGACATCATCCATCTATAGCGTGAGTACTAAACGGTTTAAGACGAATTGAAGCTAGAAGACGGCGAAGTGAAGGAGCTTCGCGAGTTGGTGGAGGAAGGGTACGACCTGCTGGGAACTCTGAACTGGACGGACCACCTCCCATGGTTGTCGGAACTTGATCCTCAGAGAATCCGGTCCAGATGCTCAAACCTCGTACCGAAGGTGAACCGGTTTGTCTCAAGGATCATCTCCGAACACCGTGCCCAAACCCGTGACTCGCCTCGCGATTTCGTCGACGTTCTGCTCTCCCTCCACGGCCCCGATAAATTATCCGACCCGGACATCATCGCCGTTCTCTGGGTATGTAATTACTCATTAGACAAGAAAAAAAAAAGGGAATTTCGTTATTATTAATAAATGCTATTTTAAGTAATTGGGATACGAACGTCCTAACACCGCATTTTTTTTTGGCTACAGGAAATGATATTCAGAGGAACTGACACGGTGGCGGTGCTGATCGAGTGGATCCTCGCTAGAATGGTCCTTCACCAAGATGTACAATCGACGGTCCATAATGAGCTTGATCGCGTAGTGGGGAGATCAAAGGCCGTCGATGAATCCGACGTGGCATCGCTCGTATATCTGACGGCTGTGGTGAAAGAGGTCCTGAGGCTTCACCCTCCGGGCCCACTACTATCATGGGCCCGCTTGGCCATAACTGACACGACCGTCGATGGGCGCCATGTCCCGGCGGGGACCACCGCAATGGTGAACATGTGGGCCATAGCACGTGACCCGCACGTGTGGGAAGACCCGCTGGAGTTCAAGCCCGAGAGGTTCGTGGCCCAGGAAGGAGAGGTGGAGTTCTCGGTTCTCGGGTCGGATCTAAGACTCGCTCCATTCGGGTCGGGTCGTCGGATCTGCCCCGGGAAGAATCTGGGTCTCGCCACGGTGATATTTTGGACGGCTACGCTTCTGCACGAGTTTGAATGGCAACCGTCCGATGAGAATGGCGTTGACCTCTCCGAGAAACTCAGGCTCTCATCCGAGATGGCCATTCCTCTCTCTGCTAAAGTGCGCCCCAGGCGCAGTTTAAGCGTTTAAACAAATAAATAAAGATCGAACTATGCTAATAAAAAAAAATAACGGATAAACACAGCTTATTTAAAGAAAAAAAAATGGGATGAACAGAGGACAACTATGGAGTTTCTAACATTTTGATACGATATGTGTTTGATGCTGTAAGGTGTGATGTGTCTCTCTCTACCTTTGTAAATATAATGAACAAGTATTTATTGTTATTGTTATTGTTATTATTATCATTGTTATCAGTTATATATATATGATAATATAATATATCGGAAATCCAGCCTTTGTGTAATCGCATAATATAGAAAAAAATGTTGATTAATATAAGAATATGGTTTAAATAACTTAATATGTACTTGGACAAATTGAGAATGTTTGTTAGAATATAATAATATACCATTTTGTTAAGAAAATAAATTCGAGTTTATAAAATTATAAATAAATGTCGTCACCAGTATAATCCTAGACTTTTGTTTTTGTACTAATATTAACTTTATAATGGAAAATTAAATGTATAAGCATATGACCATTTTTATTTATCATTGTACAAACATTTATATATACATAATAATTTATACCAAATTGTAAGATATAATAACGATTGTATATTTTTTTATAATATAATTAATTTATATATGAGTTACAATTTTTAATAAAAAAAATTTAATGTAAATATTATTAATATTTTAAATTATAACCTGACTTTAAACTCTTCTTATTCTACTCTACAAACACAATACAGATAAAATAATATATCATATCTTAATAAAATTAATATTAAGAGATGCACCCACAAGTTCTATGATTTTGGTTCCTAAATTCAGCATAATATATGCATAAATATGCAAAGAAATACACATGCATGATCACATACAGCTGTCTAGAACATCACAAAAATAGATGTGTGCTGATTCTGTCACGAACCACGATTACAATCTGATCAGATTTTATGAGGATCCAAAGATTTAGATCATAAGCTCCGACATTGTGGGAAACGATATCTTCGACGACCGTACAAAATAAATATATTATTTATTTTTTGATTCATTTGTTTATTCACGTGAAAAAAAAACTCTGGTTTATTTTATTTCACACATGGCTCATATTCACCTAACGAGCAATGTTTGATGATAATCTCAATCAGCTTTTATTCGGTCGATCCAAAATATATGTATATATATATATATATAAATATTAATAAATTGATTATAACACTTTAATAGAGTTCTTGAAAAATAATATTGATACATATTTGTATACTTAAAATGCCGAAAAAGAAAATTGGGCTACCGCCGACGGGCAATAATATGTTAATATTTCAGTTATGGACAATTAAAAAATTGTATTATGAAAATTATACTTTATGCATAAAAAGCCTAAAATATCGAATTAATTGTTGTTGTCATATTTTTTCCCCAACCAAATATATAAAAGATTGCTTCCTTTTACTAAAGTGGTAGACTTGACATACTCTATCACTCTTTGTTTCTTCTTTTTCTTTTCTTTTTTTTTTTTTTTCTTACACACTCTTCTTTGATGTTTTACACCATCATATACATATACATATATTGGTAACCAAAAAAAAAACTAATAAAATTTTTAACATCATGTAGTGTTTAATACGGATATGTGCAGATGTTTTTTTTTATAATCCATAAATTTATCAAAACTTCGACCTAATTACATGGATCGACAAAATTCAAGTGAATGTATATCTATAATTAAAAATTCGAATCTAGATTGGTAAATAGTTTTGCTCTATAAATTATCAGTGCAGTTATCTAATCTTGGATTATATGGGTAGATGTTTATAACACACGCACAGTTTTGGCTGGACATTGCATTAAATAAAACGTTAACAACATCGAACTTTGTTGATTATTATGAAATTAACGTAAATAAAAGTAATTAAGAACAAGGTAATATAATATTCTTTGAAGATGAAAGTGTGCCGGTTCTTAACAAGGCTTGAATATATAGGTTTGCCCTAAATTCCAAAAAAAAAAAAAGTGATGACTAAAGCTCACCTAACTCAAACTATATAGTTAGAAATCAAATTGAATTAGTTATCGGATAAAACATTTTTAGCAACTAATTAATAAATCAGAGTACCAAAATTAGTTTAAGGTCTTTCACTACAAAAAAACAGTTATATAGCGACGGAAAAATCCGTCGCAAATATAAAGGAAATCCGTCGCAATTAAGAATTTGCGACGGAATGCGACGGACTTATTTCCGTCGGTATAACGCTGTCGCAAACGTATAACGGTCGTTAATCCGTCGCAAAAGTGCGACGGAAAAAATCTGCGTTTTGCGACGGAAAGTGAGGGATAATTCCGTCGCAAATTGCGACGGAATTTTTTCCGTCGCATTCCGTCGCAAATGTTTTAAAAAATTAAAAAAAAAATATAAAAAAATTATATACTATATACACATACATATATATATTTTCACATATACATACATTCATACATATACATTACACACATACAAATATACATACACATACATACATATATATATATACACATATTTTCATATACACAAACACACATACACAT